ATAAATAAATGTACACTGTGCTAATGCAATTACAAGCCATGTGCCACATGTAGTGGTGATGTGATGTAATTAGGCTGTGGAGGGCTAGTCAGTCCTCGGGGCTTCTGTCTATCTGATCAGACTCTGATTGGGGACGGAGTGGGGGTGCATAATGGTGGGGGCACAATAAATAAGATTAAATTAGATTAGACTGGATTAGTTTAGCACTTATTGCACGTGCCAAATCATGTCACATTAGCTCCAGTGTCCTGGCCCATTCATAAAGGACAGATTTGAGGAGGTGTGACATTTCTCTGGTGTCGAGCGGACAGAGGATTATGGTGTGTGTGTGTGTGTGTGTAACAAAATTTGTCTTATGAAGAGAAGGTCTCATTATGAAATTAACATTATAACAATACAGGTAAATTTTATATAATTTAGCTGATCAGTATCCAACAGTAATTCCTCAAAACATCCAAAAGAATGCTGGTTATGAAACTGATTGAACACGAGAATGATTCAATTGTAAATTACAAAGTAAAGTCCAGTCGTGGACAGGTTTCATTTGTAGCTGGCCATTTGCTTTTTCTTTCTTTTTTTATTATTGTATGAAACAATAATGAGCCTATATTCCTGTTTGTTAAATCTTGGATATACTTGAACAAAGATGAGGTGATATCGCAAACCAAATTAATTTATTAAAATTAAGACAGTTTTCTTATTTATCAACTTAAAACAAGATTGCCTCATATGGGAAGAGTAACGTCGTACTTACTTGAGGTCTTTGAAGTCGGGGAAGACATACATGTGTCTGAATGAGTCTATGGCGATAACGGGACAGTCAGCTGGCGTTTTTTGGATATGGAGCAGAGGATGGCGGAACTTATCGCAGTCCGCATGAAGGAAGTTTATTGACCCTGAGGGAAGAAAAACCAATAATACCACTTATTGTGAAATATCTAGGAGGGAAGGAATTTACTGACTTGTTGCAATGAATGCACCCTGTTGCAGTACCACGCTCAAATTCAGCAAGCTCTTTAGAAAGAGCCTTTCTTTCACAAATGGCTTTATAAACCCGAGGCAATGGAACTGGCCCGATTCTTGTCAATACAGTATAAAAAGAAAAATGACTTCCCTGACAGATACAAAGTGCACACACTCACCTTTCTCACCGATGAGCTGGCGAGCCACTTCATGCTGGAACTTCTCTAAGCTCTCTGTGTCTTCTTTAAGATGGAACAAGATGAGGAAAGGGATTCCTTCTTCAGTCAGCTCCTGGAAAACAAGCACAGTCAAAAACAGATGGAGTCAGAAGCTTTTACGGCCTCAGCAGTTCCACACAGACTCCACAACAACCCTCCTGTTTTTTGAATGTAAATATATACACTTACATCTAGAAGATAAAAACTAAGCAAAAGCAGGTAACAAACCTCTCCATTTTCAAAGGTGATCTCCCTAACCAGAGGCACACACTTGTCCTGGGCCCAGGCGTAGGTCAGGTCAAAGTTGGTGAGGGAGCCGAGGTAAACCATGTCAGGAATGCCCTCGCCCATAGGTTTGTAGACCACATTGTCTCCACTGAAGCGCTCGGACCTAGACACCTCACTACGACAGTCAATTTAAGGATATAAACATGAAAAGAAGAATAACGCTAAAACCGTGGACCATCGGTGGATCTAGTTGGTGTCTGTGTCTCACCCGAAAGCGGCCAAGAATGTGCAGTCATCTCGAAGGATGTTGGCAACTTTCTGAAATGTTCGATAGTTGTCAGAGTCCTTGTTTTCAAAGAAACCAACGATGTTTCTCTTGCTCCTCTGTTAACCCCCCCACACAAAAAAAAGTGTTAAAAATTAATATCATTTAATTATACAAAGGGGAAACTTGCACATTAACAGAAACTGCCACCTACATCCACAGAATTAATCTCCTCCACTGAGGGCAGCTCTTTCACTGGGTCGACCTGCTGCTGGCGGATGAAGTCAGCGATGGCCGTCACTGACCTCTGACCCCTGTACTCCCTCTTCATCATCATCCCATTGCGGAACAGCTTCAGTGTTGGATACTTGGTGATGCGGTAGCGCTGAGCTATGTCCGCTGCGCTCAGGCAGAGGGGGAGAGGAAGTTAAGCAAAGAAAGAAATCAATTGATGAAGAGTGAGAAGAAGAGTAAAAACACATGGGGATGGGTGGATGGGGAGCGGCGCGGCGACGGAGACAGCAGTTAAACCTCAGTCTGAAAACAGTGCCTTCAGTCAGCTCTGAGCTCTGATCTCCCACATGAAAGCAGCCCCCCCACCAAGAGTAAATATTCTCTCTGCACACAGAGTGTGTGTGTGTGTGTGTGTGTGTGTGTGTGTGTGTGTGTGTGTGTGTGTGTGTGTGTGTGGCAGGTGTCAATCTCCCAGCAGGCGGTCTCTAAGCCTTCGGTCTTCACAGGAAGCAGCAGTTTTGTCATTAGCCTTCAAACAGTTTGCAGGTCATCAATAATTCCCTTTAATTTGCTTTATCTCAAAAGGCTGAGGCCGGTGGTTTATGTGGCTGTGCTTTGGTGTGTCGGGCATCTATGTGTATAGTAAAAGTATAAGAGCGCGCGTGTGAGTGTGTGCGCGCCTTTTTGTTTCCTGTATACAGAATGATGCCGTTAAGAGTTTGAGGTATTAGATCACCAAAAACACGAACCAGTTGGCTCCATTTTCATAATACAGGTACAAACAAATCATCAGCAAATGTCAGTGTCAGAAAGGAAAATTATAAGTATTACTCACAATGCTGGTCACAGTCGACGCGAGCAAACACCACCTGCTTTGTATCAGGGAACTCCTCCCTCACTATGTTAGACGCCTCCTCAAAAATTGGATGGAGCATTTGACTGAATCTACACCTGTGGGATGATCAGGAAAGTGTTTTCTTTATTCCCACTTTAACTGTAGGAATTTCCTACATTACAACAGAAAGCAGTGCATAAAAACCCTTTACAAATGAATAAGGAAAATGTGGAACTTTAGCAAAACACTGGCATTATAATGAGGTGGTCCAATGACACAGAGAGAAACAACACACTTACCAGTCTGCGTAAAAATTCACTAATGCCACCCCAGCATTATCTGCAAGGAAACACAAACAGGGAAGAAATGTAAGCCTCTATGTAGTACTTGCTCTAATGAAAGTATGTGCAGCTAGTAAAATTAATTAAGAAACCAAATTAAATGTGAACCCCGTCATTTTTCTGTGACTGATGGAAGAAAACAAAACAAAACAAGAAAGCAGTTAGAGAACAATTTAGCCACAGGAAAATGAAATGCTGCTTAATGAAAAGTGGATGAGCCGAGGAATATCAAACAACGGCCATAACAGTGGCGAGCTGCTTATTTCCAGGTCATCTGAGTATTGTAGCAAACACATCTAGAGATTTTGGGAAAGACGTGACTGTGCGACACTACAAAACGTGTTGACAGTAAGATGACACAAAAAACAAAACACAGATTTAAGATGCAAAACCAACAATCAAGATCTTCCTTTGCTACCAATTTAATAAATAAAGAAATATACTTATTTACTTTATTGTCGACACTTAAATGACTAGAGACTGTTTGAACTTGTGTAGATTTGAGGATGTTATCATCATTCTCTAAAATATTTTTCTCTTTTATATAATGTTTGCTTTAGGACAAATGTGAAGAATAAAGCGTGACGTCTTACTTAGGACGTCGTCAATGTTGTTCGAGTCCAGGCTGACGATTTCTGCCTGTCCGGGAGTAGAGAGGCCCATCACCTACAGACACACATGGAATGGACGGATTAGCAGTTACAACTTAAAACACACATGCCGAGTAAGACCACTACATCTCCATCTGTGTTATAACTGGGGAAGGACATAGATCAGATTTTATTGATGTGATAGCTCAGTTTGCTTACTGATCAATTATCTGCATGAAAAATAAGCAGAAAAAAGGCTATGAAGTGACTCATGTGTGCAAGAGATCTGCAACCACATCAATAATAAAAAAAATAAATTTATTTTATTGCTCCTATTCTGCCATTGTTTTACTAAGTGTTTTATCCTATTGTGAAGTGTCCTTGGGTGACTTGAAAGGCGCTCATAAATAACATTTATTATTATTATTATTATTATTAATACAGCTTACGATAAAATGTGATTTAAAACAAAAAAATAAAATAAAATAAAAACCACAATGATAATTTTGGAGCTGTTTTCTGTGATCTGGAAGCGCAACTAGAATTGATTTTCAATTCTCATCCTTAATAAGGATGAGTTGAACACTCCTTCCTTAAAACGTAGCACACCACGGTGCTGCTTCACACAATTTTACACCTGAAATCGCCGACAACCAACAGGTTAAATTTAGGGCCACACACAGAAAACGTGGATCGTTTTGGAGAGCGGTTGAGCCGAGCCAATCAGCTAAAATGTACTTTTGGCTCATGGCTGCCAAAGCAAATATGCGTGGCACCATGTTGTTAAGTTCCCAGATGACTAAGAGACAGTGTTTTTTTTTATGACCCTGTAGTTGGAGAATTCACAGTAAGGTGTAATGTGTCCATTTGAAAATGAAGGGATGGTTGTGGATTTCAGAACTAAGACTAGAACCATCTCTCCTGTGGCGATAAATGATCAAGACTAATCAGCTTAAATCAGCTTCTTATAATAAAACATGAAAACAATACAGAGGGGAAGATCAGAGTCAGAATCAGTTTTATTGGCCAATTATGTGTAGACACACAAGGAACTGAGTGCTGGTTACTTCTCTGCTCTCAATGTACGTAACACAATTGCAATAAAATTGCAGGTATGACCTTGAATGACTTTCCTATGATTGCTGAAGAAGAACCAGCCAGTCCTTGATGACCATCCTCCGTCTATGATGTTCAAGGTGCTACCATCTGGCTCCAGATGCGATATGCCAACATGTGGGATAAAAATTTAAAACTCATCTCTCCCAGGTCTCTCTCTCGCCTAGTGTTGGATTTTTAAATCTTTGTGGCATTTTTATGTTGTGTTTATAGTTTATTAATAACTGTGTGTTTGGTGATTTCTGCTGACTGTACAACAAATTGTCTCCAGGTGGAAGTAAAGATAAAAGTAGAGCTTCATGACAGTGGATCCTTTACCAAAAACTTTCCCAGTGTGCCCCAAGAAAACTGAGCGTGAGTGTCATCTTTCCACTGTTTCTTGTTCCTGGGACTGCCCAGGATTCTTCCCTGCAATTCCTGGTACTGAGCTAAATATACAGTGCACACTCCTACTGTTGCCCTGCTTTGTTTGCAGAGCTCTCAAGATTTTTCCACATATGAAATCTGGAAAATGTCGGGTGAATTACGTGAGGATATCATCTGGAGTTGCCCATTCTCACAGGTAGCACATAATATGTACTTCATGTAATTCTCGTCCTTTTTACAGGAAATTTCTCTCCACTCAGTATATGCTTGTGAGCTGCCCGGAGTAAAGCGCAGAAGACACATTACGACCACTCGTTAGCTGTGAATTACCTGGATTATCATTCTTGGCACAAATCAGCGCAACCAGACATCGCAGAGAGCATGCAATGGGGAGATCACATGCGTCGCTGTTGTGTAATGTCTAGGAAAATGGGAGGTATCAAGTGCAAGCTTCAAAGTGGCCTTGGATTTCTGAGTTAAATATTTAATTTCCCAGGATTTTTTGTTAATTCACTAAGGTTTACATGGAACACAGTATACAGGAAAAGCACTATTTTTCTTTTTTGTCCACACTGTCCAAAATGCACTATAATGGTGGAATGTAGACGTAATAAAGATCTTTGAACATTGAACCATTACACTGAGATGGGTTTTTATTGTGTTTATTTATTTTATACGAGTCGCTTCCGAGATTAAGCCTCAAAACACTCAGCCTTTTTAGTTTTTTTTTAATTTATTTTATTTTTATGGTTCAAAGGTGTGAAAATAAGTGTCATAACTTTCTTTCTTTGCCTTGAGCCCTCAAAATATTAGCCAATTCTTAATGTTTTATTCATCACTCAAAGGTGTTCATTGCAAACAATTATTTTGTACGTTTTTGTACAAACATCCTTTTGTCGTCAAATATTTGACAACGCTTAGAAGAAAACACAGGTTGGAACTACAACATGTGCATAACCGGATTACAGCGACATTCCAGGTCTCACATTCTGCAGGGTGCAGAACAGGTGAGACCAGGTTTCTGAGATACAAGTACAATCGAGGTTTCCTATTCACACCCTGCGGGTTTCTAGATTACTTTGTGATAAATGTCAAAGCATTTAAAATGTACAGGAGCACTGACACATGGGAAATTTTACTTTTACTTTGTGGAAAATGGCGAGAGGAACTACAAAGACACAGATGCAAATATAAAAGGAAACTGTAGCTAGAATAAACTGTTACTAAATGAGCCTATTTTTAATCATGCAAATGTTACGACAGAAGACAAAACTTTCCTCTTTTACCAATTATTTCATCAAGGCTGTCAGATATTACTCGTGGATCTCCATGCCAGAGCCACTGTAGTCAAAACGTAACATTACAACACACCATCTAGTTATCTGTTGTTATCTTTGCTGACTTAAGATCCTCTTTAAACAGGATACGTGAAGGTCGGCCAGTTCTGAGGAAGTCGACAAACTTGTAAAGAGTGACACAGCTCAAGTGGCCTTAACGTTTGCTCGCACACAAGCCATCACTGCCTTTTACTTTAAATAAATAATGATTAACAAAACAAAACAAACAAAAAAAGACTATTCTACAAAATTAGGGCCGCAAACAACCAATTTCTTCTGTCATTAAATCACATGTTCATCAGGCCTAAATGAAAAAAAAAAAAAAATGCTAACACAATATAGTTTTAATTTGATAATTTTAAGTAAGGAAACAATTTCTCACATTTGAGAAGTTGTGACGTGCAATTTTTCAGTGTTTAACCTATTTTTGTTAATCGGCCCTTATTTATCACAGCAATTCCGCACACAGAGGCAAGCAGATCAGGTGAGGTACCATCCCTTCACGGACACCATCCATCTTGCTTCATATGTGTTAATTAAATTGATTTTAAACTACTTTAAACAACATGTAAATGTGGCACTGGTCTCACTTTTTGGGGGGATCGGCCGTGGATGTTTCAGCCATGTCTCAAATAATATTAAGCTAAATACACCTCATGGACAAAAGTGCTGGGCCATACCTCTTAATCAGTCCCATTGCCACAGGTTTATAAAGCTCAGGTGCCTAGTCATGCACGCTTCCTTTAAACATTTGATAAGAGTGGGTTGTTCTAAAGAGATCACTGAAATTTCTTCCCTCCTGGAAATTCCAGATCACTTGTAAATGGTATTATTTCAAAGTGAAAGTGCTTATGAACCAAAGAAACTCAGCTACAACATTGTGCCAAGCTCCAGAGCAATGTCACAGAGTGTGCAAAAGTCACCAGTGTTTTGCTGAATCACTAACTGCAGAGCTCCAGACATCTTCTGGCATCATCATCAGCACAGAAACTAAGCACCATGAGCTTCATGGTACAGGTTTCCATAGCCAAACAGCTCCTGTAGGCTTAATATGATGTAGCCCAGTACTTTTTGTATAAGTGACACAAGTGTTAACGATGTTGACATTTCCTCAACAGGGTCAATAAACTTTCTTCACATGGACTAAATTAAGTTCCGCCATCCTCTGCTCAGTATCCAGAAAACTCCAGCTGACTGTCCCGTCATGGCCATACATAATAAAAACTTTAACTGATCAAACACACACATCCATACATATGCAATAATACTAAGTGCAATAACCCTTTCTGTCATCGTTGTATTTTTACTCAGTTGTATATAGCATTTGTATTTGTATTCTATTTTTATCTTATTGTATATTTATTTTATTTTATTCCACTGTATATAGT